AAAGGAGTAAACTCTTATTCCTTATTTGCAAGGGGGAATCCAATACGCATTCCATATATAATTATGAAAATGATATTCAACATAAAATATCAAACAATGGGACAGCTGTTGTTTTCCACATGGGAAGCTACCCATCACGGCGTGATCTGATCCCAGGGCACGGCACGCCTTGCAGCCCCTTTTCTAGAAGAGGCTTAAAGTGCAATCTCGAAGGATTATCTTTTTTTTATTTCTTTGTTCAAACGTGCACTAAGGCGGGGAACACCCGAGCGTTATGGGCGGAGCCCTTAAACACGCACTACCGAAGTCGGACTCTTCATTTTACTCGAAAGGGCAAAGGGGTTGTGTAGACTGAAAGCAACCATGCAGACACCATAAGGCATCAAGAGCTGCCCCCAAGGAGCCCCAAAGCGCAGCAGCTCAGAAGGGCCACACGTCACACAGAGAGTCTCTGCGAACCCCTTGCCTCACAAGGTGTTGAAAAGAGCCACGACTTGGCTCGTCGGCGCAGTTGCTGTGTGTGGGCACTCGCCCAAACCACGGTCTGCACAAAGATGCATCCTCCAAAGACATGAAGGATTCAAGGATTGCGCTGCCAGTAAGGGTCGATGATCTGCCAGAGATCAGGGCGCCACGTGCAGCCTCATTATCCAAATAAAAAACCGAGTAACTGTCACGGATGTGGGAATCCCAAAGTTTCAGGGCGGTCCACATCGCTAGGAGCTCGATTTCATAAATGGGGTGTGCTGAGTGAGCATAAAGCCTCTCTACTGCTGTGGCATCCAGGGTTATCGAAAAGAAAGCCATGGGAGTGCCGTGGCTGTCGTGCAAGATGCCACCCACGCAAGCGAAGTCGCCTTCCAGGCTACCGTCTGTAAAAACAAGAAAAGATCGTCGCAAATCTCCTGAGATCTTAAGGGGTTCAGAGTGAAGAGAAACGTCTCGCAGCAACTTGAGGGAGTCTCTCAAGTCATCAGACAGAGTGCACTTCGAGGTGCCACGATTTACCCAGTCGCTCAAAACGTTCAAGGCTTGCGCTGACCTCCGCCCAAAGAGGAAAGAGGTGTACCAGTGAAGCCGGCCTCGGAGGCTCTCAGCTTCTGCATGCGACAAGCGATCGGCTTCAAGGATATTGGCAATCGTAGAGCGCAACTCCTCACCTCGCTCAGGAGTGTGGCCAATTGTCACATAGCCTTCGCCAAAGTGGCTAAGGTCGATGACGAGGCCTAGTGCCTTGAAGGATTTCCCAAACACAGTTGCTTTACGGCCCTCCTTCGCAAAGTAAATTCGAAGCAAATCAAGGAAAGAGGTCGCGACATGATCAGTGACCTCGCAATTCTCGTCCAACGAGAAAAGCGGAAAATCATCGAAGTACGAGGTCCAAGGGATCCCTAGGGCGTGGGATCCCAAGAACCAAGTAGCCGCAGCGCACCTCAAAAAGCTCGAAACGCTGGCTGTCGCCCCAAAGGGCAATGAATTCACCTTGTACGTTCGGACACGGCCCGTGTCTGTGTCTTTCACCCCGATACGAAGCGTGTCCCTGTCTAAAGAGTTAACGGCATATTGCTTATACGCCGAAGTTAAGTCTAGGGTCCTCCCGGAAACTCTGGCTCCTCGGCTGCGGGGGTCAAGCATGGCTCGCAGCAAGAATGCCGCGAGGTACTCGACACCCTGGAGGCGGTATTTTTCGGGGATGCCCGTCAACAAATTAAAGGCGCAAGCTTTGCAATCGTCAATGACCCTTGTCTTAAGGCCCTGGGCGAGGCCGAACCTCTTCGCTACCAAAGTCGCAGAAAGGTCGGGGTCCTCGTCTTCCTCAATCCAGCCTTTTGCCACCTCCTCGAGTGTTTCAGACCAAGCCCGTTTAGTGACTTCGTCCGAAGCCTGTTTTTCAAGCTTCTTGAGGGTAGCCGCATTACGAGACCTGGCAGTCGAGAGCTGGTTCTTTAAGGTGGACGCGGGCGGTTTAGGGTCAAAAGGGAAAAGGCCTGACCTACAAACCCAACCCGAAAGTTTAAAGCCCTGGGTCATGTGCTTTACAAGGAGACGGTCTGGGAAATCGTACTCAGCAAGCAAATGTTCCATCAGCAGGGTGGGCTTGTCAGCCAGGACCTGTGACACGTGATCCGGCCATGTCTTCTTGCAAGATGCTTGGGAGGATTCAAGTTCGGCGTGGACTTCCTCCCAACGGCGAACCTCATCGAGCCCTTTGCCAGGTTGGGAAACTCCGCTCCCCAGCAGGTTGTCGATGAGCATAGTCATCTGAGGATCGGTTTCCACATCGAGCAGAGCCTTGGGATGGCCAGCCGCCACCGCACGTTGCAAGAAGTCTTCAGGTTCACGGGGAATCCCAACCCAAATGACTTCAAGGGCCTGGGAATGTTCGCATGCACGGAAGGACCCGCAGACTTCGGTAAAGTCCTTGGTTTTCGTTGAGCTGGGTGCACGAATGCACCAATCCCAATCAGCCGACGGCAAACTTTCCAACTTAGAAGGGCCTATGGAAGGCAAAACGCAAACCCTAACGGACCCCCAACTAACAAGTTTGCGTCGCACAGTACGCGCTCCTTTTGGGTAGCATTTCAGCAGCTTGTGGACAATCGAGTCGGCGCGAAGAGGCACCGCCCAAGCATCATAAGCGCAGAATTCACTGACCAAGGGGCGAGCCTTGCGAGACTGCTTGTTCATGGCCGGCCGAAGGGCTTTGCCAGGAGGGCCGAAAAGAGTGTGATTGTAAGCAGCGAAGCCGGCTCTTTGACAAAGGAGTTCAACGGCGCGATCCCAAAGAAGATGAGGCCATTGCGAAGCTGACTTTGGCTGGGCACCATGTTTGTGGTCCTTAGAGCAAGTGGCCTGCAGGCGTGTGAAGACGTCCGTTGACGACCACCAAAAAGCGCGACGGTCCTGAGCGCCGCCATGCATGCATTGATCGAAAGTGCACCAGTGTCCGCCCACTGAATCCAAGAATGTGGTGCAAGCGGGCGTATGCCAGAAGCGGGAGGTGGCCGGGTGCAGGATGGCGAAGGGCACACCAAGCGAGTGACAAAGTTGGCACACTATGAAGACTGATGTTACCAAGCGCAGCGCAAAGTCCCAAGACCCACTGACATCCGTGAAGAACGAACTCAAGCAAGGGATCGTGAATTGCACCATTGCCAAGGTGCTGGCATGTTCGGAGATCACATCCATGATCACCGTTCGCTCATCGTCCTTTGTGATGTCCAGGGCTTGGATCGGGAATTGGGCACGCTGGGGCTTAAGGTCGAAGGCAAGGGCATGAAAGCCCGCTTTATGGGCTGCTTTGCAAAAAGCTGCATCAGCAGCAAAGACGTCCAGCACAACACCTGAGACATCGTTCGAAGCTGCAGAAGTAGTGTGACCCTGAGAAGTCACAGATGCTGGGGAAGCAGAGTCGACAGCAGGAAAACCCGGAATCACGAAGCCTAAATTTTGCAATGTGTTCAGGTCGGAAATGGAAAGCTTAGAAATTCCATAAGTGCTGAAGACGACAAGGACGAGCCTATGGCCTGATGACCAAGGCAGAGTCTCGTGCTCGATCTTGGCATCAAATGAAATGGGTCCCGCAGACACAGGCAAGTCCTCGGGACCGGCTGCGTGATGCACTCTGACCTCGCCGCCTCTGAACTGGCAGAGGGGCGCGACTCCATTCAAGGACCCGGGAAGATTCCGCAAGTCGCGGTGCCGGCGGGTTTTCACGTCAAGAAAAATGCCAACACTTGTGAAATGCAAATCAGGAAAATGCAACCTTGCCAGGGATGCAAGGAGACATGAAGTAAAGGGGAAGCCCCTTACATTGTGTCGCAAACCCACGGTCCCACAATGATAGTAGGTGCCCGTGGTAAAGGCACGTCCAACTGGGACGGAACCATCACTCTTGGTCGGAGTTTCGCTTGGCAGCAATTTTGCGAGCTCAAGCAATTGATCGGATGTGCCGCTGCCACTCGCAAGAAGGCGTGCAGCGAGAACCTCACCTGGATGCGACAGGGCACTCCCGGCGGAAGTCTCGGGAACACGGCTAAAGCTGAAGGTGAACGTGGAACATGCCATGTCAGCAGTCGCACCTGCGGCGGCAGAAGAACGTTCGGAAAGTTTGAAATTTGCAGCATCGGAAGGATTGGTGACACATGAACCAGAGGGCTGGCTCACAGCATCAGGGCATAACCCTGACATATGGAATTCACATGCACGATTTGGACTGCGTGATCGCATCCGGGACCCTGTGGGTTCGGATGTCGCAGTTGCAGACGCTAGTCACTCTTTGGGAGTAGAAGCCTCCCCTTTGTCGCCTTTGGACTTTCCTTTGCCTTTGCCTTTGCCTTTGCCCCCCTGCGCGAACCAACAGGAGGCATGGCCGTGGCCCAATCGACGGCAAGTCATGCATCCATGGACTCCCCGGCTGCATGCAGGAGGGTTTCCCTTGCAATCAGCGTTGCAGCCCTTGCCTGAGTTAAAGTTCCAGCAGTATCGATGGCCCGCTGCATCAGTCTGGTACGGGCACAGCTTCAGCTCCTCGGGAAGGTTGCCCGCCTTGACCGGGGCTTTAAGCCTGGCGTCTCGCTTCTTTTGACGTTTGCTGGACCTTAATGCAGCTTGATCGTCATACTGGGATCCCTGAGGGGCTGACCCCGAACTTGTGGAGCCACGCTGCAGGGGCTGCATGTAAGTCAGGACACGAGGATCATGACGAAACCTGTTCATGAGGACATCCATCTCCATGACACCCGCACTGTCTGGTTTAACACGCTTGACTTCGCGGGCCAAATGAAGGAAAAGCTCGGAGTCAGCACGAAGAATCTGTTGCATGCTGATGGGTGAGTAACCTGGGGGGACATCGGCTGAAAGGCAGCGCAACAAGGATGCCACCCACTTCTCGTGAGTCTCCCACTCCAGGAAGCCACACATAAAGAAAGCTAAGCCCCGTCGCTGTAAGCACCACTGAACCTCAAGAGGGGTGCCATGCTCTGCAGTGAGCTTGTCTGGGGCCGGCGCAAGGGTCACAGCTTGTTCCTGGACGGTCAAGTACTTTTGTTGATCCCTGAGCCCCAATTTGAGCTCCGAATCACGCTTGGTGCATTTCGAAGGAGGGATCCAGACAATTGAGTTGGACTCTCCCATGTGAGCGACAGCATCTATGAGGGCATGGCTGGGCTCCATCTCGTCCTCGATGACGAGTCCCGCCAAGCGGCGCTTGGCATCGGCCAGGCAAGCCGCTTTCTCGGCTGCTGGCAACTTCTTCCCTGAATCAGAAGAGTCCCCTTCCACCAGCGTACGAAGTTGGGCAATGACGAGCGTGGACGACTCAAAGTGCAATCTCTTAAGCTCGCTCACCCGGCCTATGGACGCAGGGCTACCGACAACCGACTCTGCAAAGGCTTTGAATTCAACATCGGTTGGCTGAGTCTTCGGAGTGCCACAGCTGAAAGCAAGACCCGAATGGGTGCGAACCCCTGCAGCTTGCAACAAGATGAGCAATTCATCATCTCCTGTGATTTCCTTGCACCTGGCCGAAAAGGCGGCTTCGCTATCGACTAAGGTCATGGCAGATCGAGGAGATGTTCACCCCGATTCCCCCCCCCTTTCTTCACCTCACGTTAACTAGTCGCGGGCTTGGACCTGACGAGCGAAGAGCCGTGCATGGTGCTGTCATAGCTTCACTCACACGTCAGGGCATTTGCCTTGTCTCGTGAACCACTCGGAGACGAAGAGAGAGGGGGGAGAGAGAGAGAGAGAGAGAGAGAGAGAGCGGGAGAAAGAGAGAGAGCGAGGAGCGAGGTGGAGGGCAGAGTGAATGGAGGCCCGTGCAGCTTGCAACATGTAGCATGTCGTGAACATGTAAAACTCGCAAGCCGCAAAACGCTCACCACTACACGAACTCTCCCCTCACTCTCACACGGTCTCATTTCTCACGGGCGTCAGTCAACGTCCTGGGTTCGCTAAGGATCTCTTGCACTGCTTGCACACCGGTGTGTCATATCTTATGCGCGCAGGCTCGCCGAAGGCACTGTCATCAGCAAGGACAAGTCGTCCGCATAGTGTGTACCTTCTGTGGCCATCCAACATCAGATGGAGCGTCCTGAGCTTTCGATGCTGCACAAAGAAGGTCCCTGCTGGAGCAATCGGCGGTGGCATCAACCTAGGACGGGGTTCCTCCTCTTGAGAAGACTCAGAAGAGGAGCTATCTGAAGAAGTGTCCCCACTCGAGGAGACACCGCCGTCTGGGTCAACTTCGGATATATCTTGGGGAACCTGCACGGGACCTTGAAGCTCGTCTGGTTCCCCTGACTCAAGCAAGTCAGGGACCCCGTCAGGGAAGTCTGGGCTTGGGGGCTCGGTTGAGCCCGACTTATCACTTGCATGATCATCTGTTGACATGTCCAGGCCCCCCGGCGAAAGAGGCTCGTCTCTCGCAGTCAGGGGGACCGAAGCAGCGGGTATGATGTCCCACTGAGAGAAGCTGGAGATGTTGCCTGAACCACTATCCCCGGCACTACGAACCTCCTCGCAACGTGCAGGCGCTGAATCGGGCTTGCTGGAAGACAATGTTCTCTGCGATTTGACGTCATCTGGGATCGGCACATCGACCCCAACGTCACGAGTGACGCCGGCCCCTGTGGGGAGCTCTGTTCCAATCAGCTCCTCGTTTGTTCGGCCTGGGAAACGAGCCGCCCGACCTGAGTCCGGACAAAATCTCCCGGACCTAATCTCTGAGAGCATTCCGGCCAGGAGCCTTAAAGGGCGGGCCAAGGCGTCACGTGCATAAACATCTGACATGAAAGCGGCATGATGGTGACCACCTAGGGCCAACCTGTCAAGGTGAGCGAAGCCCCTCTTCGCCGCAAAAGACAAGAGTGTGGCCTTCAAGCTGTGCGACGTCGTGCGAAGGCCCGCACGACCGGGTAATAGTTCCCTGAGCCAAGCGCCCGCCTCGTCGGATCCCAGGGCCCTCACCGTAGGGGCTCCTGACTTATCTGGAGCAGGCATGCTTGGGAAGCCTTTACCGTACTCGTGCCCGAACGCTCATGAAAGTGCTGAGCCAGTCTGACCCATCGAGACCACGGCCAACAGCTATGATCTCCATGCACTTGGGTAACTTTGAAGAAAAATTCATAGTCTTGTGTACCCCGATGAGAGCTGAGCCGAACTCGGCAAAACCTTGATCGTCGAACTCCAGGGTCATGGAGTCAATGTGCTGAATGTCAGACCATCTACACCTGGAGTATATGCAAGCCAGAGAAACCCCACTCATGAGGCGATCCCATAGGTCATCCCCATCGTTGAGGATTCTGTGCAATTCAAGCATGTCTTCGACCGTGAAGGGATCTGCCTTGTCTGCCAGCGTTGCCTGCTTCGCTGAGGAAAGGCCCCAGCATCTCTTACTTTTGACACATGTTAGCAGGCAAGCCACATCAAAAGTGTAGTGCACAAAAGTGATAGACTCCATGATCCCTCTCAGCTCTGACAAAGATGCACCCCCAGATTTACAGGAACGGAGGGTCCCGTAAAGCATAGGCTCGGGCACAGGCATGGTATGCCCGTTTGAAGAGACGTATTTGCAAAGCCTCAACATGCTGTTTGCCCTCTTGAGGCATGTGCTGGGCGCCTTGCGCGACAGGTAATCACCAAGCATCTCCTGGCAAGCTTCGGGTGAGGCAGCCTCGCGAAGCTGTTGGGATACGGCTGTAACCTCGACGTCCCAACTTTCAAAAATCCTACACCACTTGACAAGAGCTCGGCAATGATCGGCTTCCCTCTGATCCCTCCATGAGATTGTGGTTCGGTTGAGCACCACACGCTCGAAAGTGACCTTGACAACCTTGCGGGCTCGTTTGGACTCAGACTGGCTGCAATTCTCCGAAGCTTCCTTCAAGAATTCTACCGGTGGGGTAAAACGCGCGAACTTAGGGAGGGCCAAGTGTGACTCAAGCGAGGAAGCAGGCTGGAAGAAGTCACCCCAGAACCCTTCGTCCCAGGGGAGCTTTGGAAGCTCGTCTCGCAGGCTGCCGTGAGAAAAACGCAGAAGATTCCTATAATCACTAGAGTCGAAAGAACCACCCCTCGCGGAAGGTGAAGTCCCAAGGGGAGCTTCTTGAGCATTTGGGACCCCGCGCTTTGGTCCTGCATTAAAGTTTGAACCTTGCACACGAGCGCTGGCTGGACTCACAGGCTGGCTCACTACCCCAAGGTTGCAAGGCTGATCGGAAGAAAGCTGCTGAGAAGCGACATCACCAGGCAACTGATAATCTGAATCAGAGGCAGGGGGACAGACATCGGGTCTATCAGCAAGGAGATCAAAGGCATTTCCGGCAAACTCTGAGCCCTCAGGGGAAGGGGACCTGTCCATGGCACCCGTCGAATGACGAGTATACCCTCCCCTAAACAGACTACCGGAAAAGAGGCATGCCACCCCCCAGCACAAAGTTGATTAACTTCGCGCCAAAGGAAGTGGACTTCCCACCCACCCTACCCTTGAGGTCAAATTGCGGATGTAGAAACGTATTCGCAAAGCTCAAGGGAAGGTTACTTGTAAACTGGTGCACTCGGTTTGCAGAGACAAACCGTTGGTAGTACAAAAGGAAATAAGGATTTTATCCCTTCGCTCCGCTCCGGGACGAAAATCTTCATTCAGACGCTTTAGTCAAGTCGACTATTCAGCGGGCGCTGCGTACTCATACCTACCTCCGGCGGGTACGAGAACGACCAACTAGGGCACACCGGACAACTACCTGCTGCTTACCCGAGCAGCGGCCGACTGTTGCGGCCTGATAAAGAAAGCTAAGTACCACGTCCTCATAACCTCCCGCACATCTACAGGCTTGGCCCGGATGGCAGGAGTTTCGTCATTTTGTACACAAAGGGCTGGATGCTGGAGACAGTCTCCTCGTCAACTCTAGGTTCATCGGCCCACTCTTCCTCCTTCTCCTCCTCCTTCCACTCTTCCGGCCATTCTTCTTCTTCCCAGTCATCTTTGGTGAACTCGACCTCGACCTCGACTTCTTCTTCGGCCGTGTCGTTGCAGGCATTCCGGGATCCGTCGTGCAAGACGGAGCGGAGGAACACTTTCGCAATCGCGGCAATTACGTCAAGAAGCACAACGCTTTCCACAACGACGATGCCACAAAGCTTTGTAGCGGAGTGGGTGGCTTGGCCGCTCTCTCGGCAAACTCCTTCTTACAGGCCCCTTCGATGGCCCTAGTGGAATGCGGAGGCGGAGAGGAAGTGCCACAAGGCGACCGGAAAGACGGCCCTCCCATACGACCAAGCGATTGCAGCGGCGCAGCTGCTGAAGGAGCACATGGTGCAGACGTCTTTCATGCGAGAGGAAGTCTTTCAATAGAGAGAGAGACCACCACGATCTTCAAGCTCACACTGTTGCTGGAGAGTCCCGACATAAAAAAGAACAGGAAGGTGCTGCACAAGTTATCAGACTTGGCGGCTCTTCGCCTGACAGGGGCTTGACTGAGACCGGAATGCAGCCATTTGCCGAAAGCCAGAAGAAGGGAAGCGGTCCTCGGCCCGAGCACCCAAAGAATCTCAGAAGGAGCCGAGTTCGGCTCCAAGACAGCCATCAAGACCCTGGGCACCGCAAGAAGAGCCTTCGGACTCTTCGCAAAAAAATCAGCCAAGTGCACCGCTGGAGCCAGAGCCGGTCCATAAGCCTCTCTGTGACCCCCCAGCCCTGGCGCTTGCCCCTTCCAGCAACTTGCGTCATCTTATTTCCCTCGCTCAGCACATGTGGTTGCAAAACGCCAGTCGGAATGCAATCCTGGGCGACTCGCACGCTCCTCCGCTTTGAACACTACTCAACCCACACGACCGCACCTGGCACACCTGGTACAAGGAGCGCTCCGCTCAGCAGAAGTGGTATCATGAGGTAAAGTGCACGAGGCAGCATGCTTACAGATGATGGTCGTATCAAGTCCCAACACAAATGAGTGCCAACCTGACTTCTCAGCGACCGTTTGGGGGCAAGGTGGCACTGCAGTGGAACTCTCGGGTTCAACACAACACACACAAGTTTTGCAGTAGTCAAGAGGTGCGGGCCTAAACCTGACACACCTGTCACTTGACAGGAGTCCGCAGGAAAGAGCCTAAACCCTGGAGACAGGGACGTACACGCACGGCACTGCTGAATCCTCGTTTCTAGCGCTTGTGGAAAGCGGCTGGCTCCAAAAGCAAAAGCAAAGAACTTAACACGAAGCCTCTGGGTGCGCGCAAACTAAAGGGGCTGTCGTCGTGGAGAAGTTCTTGGCTGTGAAGCGTTACCCTGCTTCCTTGGTAGCCGGGGTACTGCTGAGGCATGCAAAATGGCTCAAACTCTCACCACACAGCTTCAGTGGACTTCCACAGCCACAGCAGAAGCCATGGAACAGGTGTTGAATCTGCTCACACTCCGTCCCACTGAAGCCTGGAGATCAGCAAATGAAACTGTCAGAACATTCGGTCGCCGTCGACAACAACTCAGTCTAATGTGGACCTCTTGGAAAGTGTGCCTGCATGAAGATGAGCCAAGTCTTGCGTCGACGCAGCTGCACCGTGCCCGTTGGCCTCCAAACTTGCCGAGCATACGGGCGGTGCTTTTAAAGCTGTTGTCTTCTGCAAGGGCTCTCAGTTTAACCTGCTGAGATGTTGCTTGGGCCCGGCAAGGAGCATTGCAAAAAGATGGCAACCGCTGCCCTGGCAAGATTGATGGGCAACTTCGCTTCAAAATGTTGTTTTCCGGTACATCCACACAGCTGGACAAGAGCGCTCGAAGCCCCGTATTTCCTGCCCCACCGTCGGCGGTCAAGGCTGAGCCCACTGCGGTTCTTTTTGCTAGATTCCATAAGAAGTACATGGAGCCCTCCGCTTGGACAGCTGTGTGCAAAGCGCCTCAAAAGGATGCACCTGTGGGCTGCCAAACGCAACTTGAAAATCCATGGCGACGCCTCTAAGGTCATCCTTGGAATCATCCGCATTGCCAAATCCCGCTTTGGCGACCATCTTCAGTAAGCCATGGTCAAGCAGCGGCGCAATCGGAGCAGCAGCTCCTTTTACTTTCTTGGCCCACAAATGATCGCTCTGCCCATCACGCTGGATAACCTCCCAGCAGATCGCGCTTTGGGCACGGTGGCGCCCATAATTATCAAGGCACAGCTCTTGGAGCCTTCGAAAGCCTGAGCCGTCCTTCACGAGAACGGAGACTGTGCCGGTGTACTGCTGCCCAGCAGTCTGCCAAGGCCTCTGCGTCTGCGTAAATTTCTAGCCGACGTTTTGGTCATCCCTGAGGCTGTGCCTGTGTCGGTAGCGTCACCCAGAAATGCGTGGCGAAAGTTGGGATATCAGGCCCTCAGCTCTCCGTTTGCAAGTTGCCCTTCTTTGCAAGGACCAATCTAGGCGAGCCCTCTGACCACAAACGAGGCAACGACACGTCTCTTATTGTTCAAAGACCGTGCTTGTGTTGTGCTTCTCTTGTTGTTCTCAACTCAACATTTCATGCAACATGTTTGGGCACTCAGGTAAAGAACGCTTTCAAGACAGCAGGCGTTCTTAGACAGCTCTTCAAGCGAGGTTTCTTTTCACACAGTG